TTGTACAGCAATTAACCACTAAGAAGAATATATGCAGTGTATTATTTGTTGAAACTGTACTTCCGATTTGATTTGAAACTGTCTTATTGCTATCTGTTTATCAATAAAACTTTGAAAAAAAAATTATCTACACACTGCTTACCTGAGAGACATTAGACTATTCTCTTGTAGGAAAATATGGTGACAGCAAATGCTCTATTTGTTTCTGTTTTTTCTTTTTTTTTTTGAGACAGGGTCTTGGCATATAGTTTAGGCTGGCCCTGAACTCATTATGTAGCCCAAGATGGCCTCAAATTTGCGACAACCCTCTTTCTTCAGCCTCCCAAGTACTGGGATTACTCTTTCTTCTTGTGTATGTGTTTTTTTTTTCTGTTTTTCAGACAAGGTCCTGCTATGTAGTTCAGGATGGCTTTGAATTCACTATAAAGGCCAGGCTGGCCTTGAACTCACAGCAATCCTCTTGCCTCAGTCTTCCATGTACTGGGATTACAGCTGTGTGCCACCATGCCTGGCTTTTTTTCTTTTTTAAGAAAGTTTACTGGTTCATGACATATCTAAGTCTAGGAATCACCGTTCAAATAGTAATTGTCAATATTGGAAGGATTTTTTCAACATGCAAATAAAGGGTCAAATTACCCTGGGAAATGCTGTGTAGTGTATCTGCTGCTTAAAATGTATTTTTACAAACATTAAGAAAGTAAAGTTACTAAGGAGACCTTCAATAAAAGGATCTGTTTCAGAACCTTACTTTACACTGATAGGTTTTTTCCCCCCTCTTAACAATAATTTCAGGGGACTATACTAGACTGGAAGTTTTCCCAAGGGCTATATTTAGGTCACCCTACTTCCAGTCCATTAAAAAAATACATATATTTTGAAGTCAGGCATGGTGGTACATGCCTGTAATCCCAGCACTCAGGGGGCTGAGGCAGGAAGATTACTATGAGTTTGAGGCCAGCCTGGGCTACGCAGTGAGACAGAGTTTTGCTTAGCTTCCCAGCTAGGCTTGACCTTGTGATTCTCTTGTCTCAGCCTCCCAATGTGCTTTATTATTATTAATGTACTGGGTATAGGGTCTCACTATGCAGCTTGGATTTATAGTGATACTCCTGTTTTCAGCCTCCCCAGTGCTGGGATTACAAGCATGTCTGAGTCCACCACACCTGGACTCGGTGGCCAGCTCAGCATGCCTGGGGGGGGGGGCAAGTGTGGCAGGTGGTGCCTGGGATCAAACTCTAGTCCCTGTGCTCAAGCAGACAGTCTGCTGAGCTATCTTGCCAGCCCTTGTTTTTTAAACACTATTTTCAAAGCCTTTAATTGACTGCATTAGTGTTTGTCATGGTGTGTCTCTGCTGTTAAGTTTCTCTCATCTCTACCAAATCCCTCCCTCCCACTGTCCCTTTTGGAAGGAAGTCACAATCTGGAGCCCACCTCTAAGGTGTAGGGGATTTTGCTTCCCATTTTCAAGCCTCATTTAGATCTGCATACTGAAGCATCACCCTTTTAAATACAGAAGCTAGTGGTGTCAGTACACTCACAATGTTATGAGACCAGCACTGTATCTCCTTCCAGACCACTCTTGGCCGCCGAGGGAAACCCATGCAGTAGGCACCCCAATTTCCTCTCCCTGGTCTATGTCAATCTCTACTTCCTTTCTGTCTCCCTGGATTTGCTTATTCATGACTTTCCATATATGGAATAATGCAATACGTGGTCTTTATTTAGCATAATGTTTCAAGGTTCTTCCTTATTGTAGCAAGAATCAGAACATCATTCTATTTTTCTGCCAAATAATATTCCATTGTAGAAATAGGTCACATTTTGCTTATTTGTATTCTTTGGTAGATGGACACTGGATTGTTTTCACTTTTGGACTGTTAGGAATAATAATGTTGTATGTGTTTTGAATTCTCCTAGTTATACACGTATTTGTGGAATTGCTGGGTTACGTGGTAACTCTTTGTTTAATATTAAGAGTAACTATTGGCCACACTGTTTTCCAAAGTGGCCAAATCATTTTGCAGTTCCACCAGCAATGTAGGAAGCCACTACTTTCTTCATATTCTTACCAACATAGGCCGTTTTCGATTGTTTTGATTCTAGCCATCCTAGTACCTGTGAAACATGTCCCATTGTGGTTTAGATTTGCGTCTCCCTAAATGACTAGTGATGCTGGGCAACTTTCAGTTCAATTACTGGCTATTTTTGTCTCTGATTCCATTGAGAAATGTCTACTTAAATCTTTTACCCATCTTAAATTTAGTTTATTTTTTTTATTTTTGAATTATGAGTTCTTTATATATTTGGGTATAAGTTCTTTAACACACGTAAGACTTGTATATCTTCCTCCATTCTTGTGGCTCTTTTCACTTTTATGATCAGAGTCCTTTGAAACACAAGTTCTAAATTTTTTTGTGGAACTGGGGATTGAACTTAGGCCCTTGCGCTTGCCAAGCACAGGCTTATGCTACTGTTATCTCCCCAGCCCCCCAGCTTATTAGTATCTACAAACAAAGCAAATGAGAATTTTGAAAAGTACTGCACTTTAGTTTTTTTCTACAACGTTTCACAGTTTTCAATGCACAAATCTTGTACTTGTTACTTTATATTTTATTCTTTTAGGTATGATTGCAAATGGAATTTTCCTTAGTTTCCACTTTGGGACTGTTTTGAGTGCATAGAAATACAACAGGCTTTTGTGTACTGATCTTTTATTCTATAACTTTAACTCAATTTTTTTGATTCCTTAGAATTTTCTATATGTAAGTCATGTGACCTGTGAATAGTGATAGTTTTACTTTATTCCCAATTGTTTTCTTCCTCGAATGCTGCTGCTTGAGCCTACACACACACATTTGCCTTATTCCTGATCTTAAGGGAAAGTGTTCTACATTTCACCATTCAGTATATTATTTGTGGGATTTTCATAGATTCTGTTTATCATGCTGAGTAAGTTCTTTCTACTCCTAGTTTGTCAAGTATTTTTATCATGAAAGGCAATGGATTTGGTTAGGATTTTCTATGTCAATTGAGATGATTGTATTTTTGGCCAGTTATTGTATTACCCTGATTTTTTTTTTTTTATTAGTACATGTTTGTCATATGAAGAATGCTTACATTCTTCATGGCGAGCTGGCACACTAACACAATGTATCTTAATTCCTTTTTCATCTTCTCTCTCCTTTCCTTCCCTCTTCCATCCTGATTCTGTTACCCTCTGAGAAAGATCTTCCTATTTTTTACGTTGTTCTTTATTTATACTTTGGGTTTCACATTTAACAGAAACCATGCCATATCTAAGCTTATGCGTCTGATTTATTCCACTTAACATTATGGTCTCAAGGTGTATCCACTGTCCTGAAAACCTTACTGGTCCTTGTGTGACCCTTTGTATAGTTGTTAATTTTGCTTGTTGGTATCTTTTGAGGATTTTTATATTTGCATTCATGAAGCATACTGGTCTGGAGTTTTCTTGTGATGTCTCTGTCTGATATGGGTATTGGGGTAGGAAGGAGCCCACCTTCCATGAAGGCTGGCCTCATAGAATGAGTTGGAAAGCATTCTCTCATTTTCTTTCTTTCATATTTACTCATTCATTTATTTATTTGGGGTGCTAAGAATTGGAAGAGTCTGTGAAAATTCATACTGAATCTTCCTAACGTTTGGTAGAACTCATAAACAAAGGTATTCGGGACTGGGTTCTTTTTGTTGTTCTTGTGTATGTTTGTACAATCAGTGGGGAGCAAAGGCCTGCCCATGTGTGAGCATGGGGTACTATGGTAGAGAAAGGCTCTATTTCTCTGGAGTAGACAGGTGCCTCTCCTGGCTCATTACAGGCAGCCACAAAGTAAAACCAACTCTTCCATGCAGAGGGAAGGACAGTGCACCCTCGCCCTGGGGAGGGAAGATATACTCACCGTCATCCAGGATGACCAGAAGTGGAGCCAGAAGGTCACACATGCCCTGGACATAGCCGATCTCAATGTGCTGCCAGATGTAGCTGTGAGCAACGCAAGGGGCTCGGAGATGGACGCACCACCACCCTGCCTTCCAGCCCACTCTTCCTTGCCTGCTTAGTCCCCAGCGCTCACCAGGGCTGCTCCCTCCGCCCATTGCCTGTATTCCCATCAGTCACACTGCACACATCCCAGATGATCACCAGCATGACTCAAAGCCTTGCACTGGCCTCCTGCCACCAGGTGGAGACTCCATTACTGGGCACAAGACAGGCAGTCTCCCCACACTCCTCTTCACAGCCTCACATGCCACTTCCTAGTGCTTCTTCCTCTTCAGACACATAGGGGCTTCACTATGCACAAAGAAACCACACATTTATGCTTCTGTGCCTTTGTCCCCCACTTCCCTCTCTGGAATCTGGTCAACCTCTTACTAACAATACCTTATATTTAATGAACACTTACAGTATAAGAAGCCTATTACAGGTCACTATGGTCACATTTTACAAATGAGAAAGGCAGGACATGGGTAAATTACATGACTGAAGTCATATACTTAGTAGATTCAGAGGCAGTATTAGAACCTGGAAGGCCTTATGGATAGCGTATAATTTTAAACACTGTGTTAAATGGTTTCTTTAGTTTTTCTTTGTCAAAATCTATCTGGAAAGTTACCATCTTTGTCAAACCTGTGATTTCTTCTGTCCAAAAGCAGGCCAAAGTAGGTCCACTTTTCCTTTGCCTCAATTCTTTTTCATTTTAAAGTAACATTTATATTGTTTTGAAACATTAAAAAGTGTTCTTATATAATGCACAATTCATTCACATTGTATTATAGAATATACAGTCAATTATATACTAGATAGTAAGTTTTAGACTACAAATATTTGAGCTGCAAACTTTCACAGGTATACTGCATGAGACTCACTTTGTTGGCTTATAAACAAACCCAGGTTATGAACAAATTCTGGAACGGGAACTTGTACATATGTCAGGGGCTTGCTGTACAGTTGCGGAAAATATTCACTACACTGTTAGCAGTCATTATTCCTGGGTGAGCTGAGCTGCTGGGCACAGATGGAAGAAGTGTCTTTATCTTATGAACTTCTGATTTCCTTTTTGATTTTGAGGTGGGTACTGGGGACTGAATCCAGGTCCTTCACATTGAACTAAAGTACCAGCCTTTTTATTTTTTATTTGAAACAGAATCTCCTTAAGTTATTAAGTTGTTCTGAGGGTGTGGTTCCTGAGTCTCCATATCCTCAGTAACCAAAGGGGTCAATGCTTATATTTCATACAGTAGAGGATTAAGTGACCAGATGACAGTAAAGGGCTCAGGACTGCGCCCTAAGCACTATAAACTAGGTGCTTAGTAACTGGTTTGTATTGCTATACCTTCTCTGGAAGAAGTTCCACCTTGGCTCCCTCTAGCTCCACCTCACCCACCCCAGATGTCCTCTATCCCAGGTTCTCCAGTCCCAGCTACCTGCACATGATATTGCGCAGCTTCTCCAGGTTGGTGGGTGTGAAGTACCAGTAGTTGCGGTCACATCTCTGCACATCCTTCTCGATGCGGTGTAGGTTAACCGTGTACAGGTCCAGCAGCTCAGGCTGTAGGTACACAGGAGGGAAAGAAAGAAAAACTACACCCAAACTCCCCACTCAGGGACAGATGCTCTATCCTGCTACCGGCTCTTTCCTGGGGCCAAGAAAAACAACACCTTTCATGGGGACCAGTTAGGTGTTTGATTTTGTTTGCTTATATGTATGTTTTCTGGGAAAGCCTTTTCCCATGTATGATGCACACTTTTATTTCTAAAACACCTTCATTAGGTCCATAATTTATACCCATTTTTAGGTAACAGAACTGAGACTTATGGTTACCACTGTAGCTGGAAGTGTACCCCTCTCTGCTGAAAACTGGACAAGAATGAAGGAACTGAAGTCCACTTGCAGTTCTATATTAGATCAGATGTCCTGAGGAACCCTAGTAGAATAACCCAGTGATACAGCAAGAGTAATAAGCATTTCAGGGCAAAAAAGTAACCTATAAGAGTAAGAAAATAGCAAATTTGGCTTCTGCCTTGAGGGAAGCTGCCACACTTGGAAAACGTATGTTGAGGCATCTAAGAGACCTTTTCCAAGCAAAATGGGACCTCAAGGACAAGAAAAACTAGGGGAAAAAACATACTAACATTCCGGGGCCCAAAAATAATTGCTTGCACCCTGAACCCAGGTGCCACATTAAATGTTTAAGTAAAAGCTACAAATCAGGCTTATAACTCAGCAAGGTTTATAATCCAAGCTTCCACTTCCTAGGTAGCCTGAAAGATCAGGAAATTCAGTCTAAAGTCATCTCAGATTTATTATACCCCTGATGCCAGGATGGGCCAAAAGAAATCCTTTTTTGAGGCAATGACCTGCCACCTAGGCAGACAGTACAACAGAGAAAACCTGTAAAAAATGAGCCCATGTTCAGAAAAGCACAAAATATTGGGAGAAAGAGGGCTGTGAAGGACAGCATAAACACAAGAAGACAGACTTGGGACTATGAGGACCTCTATATTAGAGGTACCAGGGATAGAATTAAAATGTCTGTTTGATATATTTATGTATTTAGTACAGGGTCTACAGGGTCTCATTACACAGATCGGACACATTGTGATCCTGTTTTCAGCCTCCCAAGCACTGGGATTACTGGTGTATGCCACCATGCCAGTCTCCCTCACTGTCCTAGTATGCCCTAGGGAACACTGGTCCCTGTGCTTGCCTAAGCAGGTGCTTTAATTCGCTGAGCTATCTGGCAAGCCCTGTTTGATATATTTAAAAAAAATCAAAGAAGCCAAAGATAAAACCAAGAGTTTGTAAGATGATCAAGTTGGTCACTTTACAGTATACTTGGAGAAAAAAGCCAAAAACAATTTTTCAAAACATAGTAAGCATCAGGCAGGTAAAAAATCAGATGCTCTTTTCCTTTCCTAGAGTGCTGGATGTTGGGAGTGGAAGCCAGGACCTCACGGGTATCAGGCAAGCCCTCTACCACTGAACTGCACCCCCAGCCTGAGAATCAGACACGTGAGAGACGTAGTAAATTAGAAAGAGATCTGAAGAAATTATCCCAGATTTATCAGACAGACAAAGAAATGATAAAATGAAAGAGTAATAATGTACATACAGGATAGTGTGAAAAAGTCTAGCAAACATTTAATCAGAGCAGCAGATAGAGAAAATCAGGAAGGAACAACAGTTGCATAAGTAAAGAATGAGAATTTTCCAGCACTGGTTGAAGACATCAATGTGCAGATATGTGAGGCCCAACAGCTACCAGCCTGGAAATATAAAAAGAAATCTGTATCTAAATACATGACACACGATACCAAAAAGAGAATCTTAAAATAGTCAAAGAGAAAAGGAGGTTATCTTTAAGTGATATCTTCCTTATTTCTCAATGGCAAAAATGCAATTTTGAAGAAAAAACAGTATCTTCAAAAAAGTATAGGGGCCAGGAAGACAGCTCAGTGGCTTAAGCACCTGCTTGGCAGGCATAAAGTCCTGAGTTCAATCCCCAGTACAAAAAGCAAACAAATGCTTGATAGGACTGGTGAGATAGCTCAGCAGACTAAGCGCCTGCTTAGGCAAGCTCAGGGACCAGGGTTCAATCCCTCGAACTACATGCTGCACCGGCCCTGCCCCCGGGCACACTGAGCCGGTCACCGAGACTAGATGTGGTGGCACATGCCTGTAGTCCCAGTGCTGGTGAGGCTGAAAACAGGATTACTACAAGTCTGAGCTGTGTGGTGAGACCCTGTATGAAATACATTAAAAAAGTATAGATGCTCCCTGACTACCAGAGGGTTACAGTCTGATAAACTCTTTGTGAGGTGAAAAATGTTGAAGTAAAAAATGTACTGAGTACCCCTAACCTACCAAACAAACATCCTCGCTTAGCTACCCAGTGCGGGGCGGAGTACCGGCCGTTTCTCCTCAGATCAGGACTCAAAGGGTGCTGCAGCTCTGGCCACCGCACAGCATGAGAGCAGCACAGTGTGCCATCCCTAGCGCAGGAAATGATCCAAATGCAAATTCTGAAGTATGGTTTCTACTTAAAGTGTATCGGTTTTTGCACCGCTGTAAAGTGAAGAAGTCATACACTATCCTAAGTGGGGGACCATCTGTGTTGAGAAAGAAAATAACTGCAATCTAAAGTTGCATAGATGGTAAAAATATCTTTTAGGAACTGGCCAAATGAATACCACTCAGGAGAAGCCCAAGTGGAGAGATACTCTGCTGAAGAATGCACCAGCGTCCCAGACTAAGGTGCCTCTGTGTAAGGAGGTGTGAAAAGCAAAGTGCGGAAGCGGGTGAGGTCTATGCTCTACCAAGGTGAGGGAATAAACAAAGAAACAGGAGAGCAGGAGACTCAGAAAACAGGAAGGAAGCAGATGGAACCTACAGAGGAAGGGGAAAGGAGGGCAGGAGTGACAAGTGTGCCTCAGCGCAGGGACTGTGCTCTCTTGGGGAAAATCCTTCCAACATACAGAATGAACAGAAAGCCTGATGTGTCTGCCTTTGAGCAATGCAGAGAACTGAAAGAATTCAGAGCATTGAATTGGTAAATATACAGCAAATTAAGAAAAAAAAAAGACAAGAAAATGAAAACACATCTAGGAAAAACAGTACTGTTTTGCAGGAAAGGAAAAAAATTCAACACAGTGTGTACTACAGGGCTGAGACACGATAGTGCTAAAATAACAGCATTGAACAGTCATTTAAAGAATGATTCTGTTGGGCTGGGGAGATGGCTCATAGAATAAGCGCTTGCCTGGCAAGTGTAAGGGCTCCCTGTTCTGCAAAAAAAGAAAAAAAAAAAAAAGAATGATTCTGTCACTCTCTGGAGAAATAAAAATGGGCCAGAGTCCTTTACGTGGTGATGGTTTCAGATGATGGAGGGAATGAGAGCTAAATCCTCCTCTTCCACAGTGAGAGGTCAATTGATAACTTTTAAGATTAAAGAAGATCAAGTAGTAGTAATACAAGAAAGTTTAATATCTGGGACAAAGTCAAGTAACTTGGGCAGGACAAGTAGTATCACTGCTTCTCAGGAAGTTCAGGAAAATTAGCCAACTTCCTTCCTTGCACTCTTCCTCCCTCCCTGCTTGGAGACAGGCTGGCCTTCAACTCCTGAAGCCACCCTCCTGCCTCAGTGCCCCAATACATAGAACTGTAACTGTAACTGCACACAGCTTGACATCTGGCTTCCTTTAGTGTATGATTCTTAAATTATGGGGATAGAGAACTTGACAGAAATAACTTCTTTTTTAAAAAAATGGATACATGGTATCTGGCTCAGAAAAACTTCCCCTTTCAGTTGATATCCTCTGGCTTTGACTTTCTGGCAAGAAACCAAACTTAAATATTTAAAAGATATTTGATGGGCGCCAAAAAGCCTGCTATGTATCAAGACTGAGACCTATCCAGTGCTTACTGTATGACAAACACTCATGAGTTCAGCATGCTAATTCTGAGAAGAACTCGGGAAGGAAGGTAATAGAATAGACAAGGAGACTGAAGCACAGGCAGGTTAAAGTGATGAGCTGAAGTAAGAATGTGAACCCAAAACTGTTCACTGCAAAGGTTGTGCTTTTGGTTTTGAGACAGAGCCTTGCTATGTATTCCTGGCTGGCCTTGAACTTGATTCTCTTGCCTCAGGTCTTCTGAGAGCAGGGTAACATGTGTGTCACTGTGCCTGCCTAAGACTGTACTCTTTACATACCCTGCATATGGAGTACCTTTTATCTGAAAAGCTTGGGACCAGAGCATTTGGGATTATTTGGGGGGTCTTAAAATCTATGCATACAAGGGGTTGGGGAGATAGCTCAGTAGAATAAGCGCTTGCCTGGCAAGTGCAAGGTCCTGAGTTCAATCCCTGGTATCACAAAATAAATAAATAAATAAAATCTGTGCATATAGACAGAGATATTCTTGGGCACAGGACCTGTGTCTAAACATGAAATACTGATGTTTCACATATATTTTACACACATAGCCTGAAGGTAATTTTATACAGTATTTTTGTGCATTTTAACTGCAACATAACATGTAAAGTCAGGTGTGAAATTTTCTACTTGTGGCGTCAACTAGGTGCTTACAAAGCCTCAGGTTTTGGAGTACTTTTATTTTTAATTTTTGAGCTGGGTCTTGCTATTTGCCTAAGCTGGCCTTGAACTTATAGGCCCAAGTGTAGCTCCTGTTCCAGCTGCCTCAGTAGCTGGGGTGACAGGTGCGTGCCACTGTGCTCAGCCTGGAGCATTTCAGATCTTGGATTTGAGATGCTCAGCCTATATTACTCTCTCTCTAAAATGGTTTCCACAGTGACTCCTCCATGACAGGGAAAATGAAACAAATCAGTGCTGTCTCTCCTAGGTCAATCTGGATAAATGAAGCTGTAGTACATCCCTAACCCCCTGCCCCTCATTGGAGGCAAAAAACAGGTAGAAGAGAGTCCTGGTAACTTACAGAGTAGGTGACCCCACTGGAAGACACAGGGGATGCCTCGCTGTTGGCAGAAGTGGTCACAGCCAGAGAAGCCAGGGCAGGGAAGAGGCTTTCCATCTCCGGCTCCTCCGAGAGGTTGTCCTCACTGTCCGCCTGGCTGTGCTTTTCCTCCCCACCACGCCAGCCCTCCATTGTGGCACTGTCCTTTTCGGGCAGGGCCACGTCCATGCTGCCAGTGATGGACATGAACTCATCCATGCTCCCGTTGGCCAGAAGGTCGCTCTCCAGGCTGTCCTGCACAGCCAGCTCCTCCCGAGGGGCCTCATCCCGGGAAGTGGTGGCCTCACTGCTCTGCCCATCATCCACACTGCTGTCCCCAGGCTGAAGCACAGGAGGCATGATCCGCTGGGCATCTAAGACACTGTCTTCTGTGCTCAGACTGGGCTCTGAATGCTCAGAGAGGCCGGAAGAGAAGTTGTGGGAAGAAGGATGACCAGAATCTGGGGAGCAAGTGCCATTTGCCACGTTCCCATTGGGGATCTTGGGCTGCTTCTCCTCCAACCTGCCCTCTGCCTCCACTTGCTCAACTTCATCCACGGACTCAAACACCTGCAGCAGGTCACACAAAGATAGATGGGCTGGGATGTGCAGGGTCGCACCAATGTGGCAGCAACATAAATATTCAACAGCAGGGGACAGGTTTCAGGATGAACATGCATGCAGGGGACATTACCCTATGAGTGAGAAGGGTGAGGAAGAACAACACATAATATGTGCCTCCACTTGGGACTAAGAAAGAAGGGGTCTGAATGCTTGCATAGGCATCAAATGCTTTAGAAAGGAACAGGACAGCACTGCCATGGGCTCCCACGAGATCGCACTGGGAGAGCAATCCTGTCATACAAGCTTTCATCATGTGTGCATAATTTTTCCAAAGTAAGAAGTTCATGTACGAAACAGGCTAAAAAGCTTACCATATCCACGTGAAAGGCTATTCCCAATCAATTTCCAAAACCAGTTAGCTATATATGAAATACTATGAAAATATTTCCAGAATACATTTTAAGGATTATTTGTTGTTCTTTGCATCCTTAGGCCCTACCCTTCAACTGGATTTACAGTCAGTCTCATACGTTTTGTTTTGTAGTTTTGCAGTGCTAGGCATGAAACCCAGAGCTTTCACATGCTGGACAAGCACTCTACTCTTCAGCTCCATGACTTGTGCTTTAAGCACTTTTCTTTATTAATTTAATACATGTAAATATTTTTTAGTTTCAGAGTAAAAATTTTTACTTTCAAACGTTTCCTTTTATCATATAAAAGATGATGTACCATGTGCATTTTTGCGTTTTATTTTTCTCTTCAGTATCAGTGAATTATCTCTTAAGTAAAATGGAATATTGTTAAACACATTCATGATGGCATTTCCATAGAAATCTTTAAAAATCACCAACCGTTGTTATATTTATCTACATACTTCTGCCTATGTGAAAGCATGTGGAAGGTGCTGAAAGGATACAGACTGTCGAGAGTGGTGCTATTCCAAAGCAGGGCATGTGAGGTGAAGGAAAAGAAAGAAGTCTGCTTAGCTTTCTCTTCAGCGTTTTACTATCTGACAGGGAGGATGGATTCATGAAGTCAGACAGATGGTACTGTATTGCTAAAAATCCACTTTTAGTGCTAGCATTAACAGTTAGAACACAACACAGAAAGCGGCCAGCAGAGGACAGCCCCTGCTCTCACTGCCCCAGAGGGGCAGGGCGGGGCTGCTGGACAGGTACCTGGGTGCTGCTGCTGGAGTCACTCTGCAGGCGGAGGTTCTGGCGGCCGGAACTGCAGCTCTGGGAGGACTGAGAGAAAGAACAGCTGGAGGGAGAGTGGGCGAGGCTGCTCCCACCCTCGCAGGAGGAAAGCTGGGCTCTGGGCCAAGAAAAGTGTTCTACTTTTAATCCTGGCTGGGACAAGTCCCTTCTAAGGTTCTCAGCTTCCTAGTTGCCTAACAAAAGAAAGGAAAGACCATTCCTGCTCCCAGAAGCCTCTTCAGGGATTAGTTTGGCCTCTGGGTGCCTGTGTCCTATCAGTGGCAACCAGAGTACCCCACCTTTAGTGCCTCTGCTAAACCTGAGACTTCTGGCTAATATTTTATTTTGACTCTTAAAGTAACTGATTTTATTACTAACACAACGCTTTATCCATTCCCTGTACACAAGCCTTTTGTTCTCTAATTTCATGGAGTCTGCCCATCCTAAGGCTAGGCTTGCTTAGATATGTGCTTTGCTTTGGTCAATGGATTGACAGGGCAGAAACTTAAAATATCTGTGCCTTTCCACTTTCTTTCACTGACATCTGCTTTCATGGTGAGAGTGGCCTGGATTATCCTGCTAGAGGACAAGATCCACTGAGTAGAGTCAAGTGCCCCAGAGGAGGCAGACAGCACAATCAGTACCAACAACTCCGTAGGTAACCGGCCACTGACAGCTGGCATCAGCCCCACTTGGGGCAGAGGCTCCTGGTTCTTCCACAGACTCAGGGGCAAAAGTACTGAGCACAATGTGGATGGAGGGAAATCTCTGGATTTGGGTAGTTTTTACTTTACAGTGTTGCTGTGGCAACTGAGGACGATGCAACCCCAGTGAGAATGAACTGTCTCTGAGTGCCTGCTGCAGGCTGTTCAGCTAAGGTTCCGTGAGCCCAGAAACATCTGCTTGGGCGGCACACTCTTGCTACTACCTGGCGCATCGTAGGTACTCAGTAAGCATCTGTTGCTACATTGTGCTTGGTATCTGACACATAACAGCCAATCAGAAAATAGTCTACATTTTTATAAATTACAGTAAAAGACACATTGCTATTAATCCCCCTAAAAGTACTCTGCCTCACTTCAAACACACTTAACCCACTGCTTTGCCATTCTCTGATGCAGTTCTGGAGGTCTTCTGTGAGCGTCTTTACAAGACGTGATTACAAATACGGTGAACGCTGCTGCTGAGTGCCATCTAATAGAAAGGCAACTCCTAAACACATGAGGGGCTTTCCTCCTACAGGTCTGCCACTGTAAGTGTTCCAGCTCTTTCCTAAGAAAAAATGACCACGAAAGGTAGACGTTTTGAACTGGGATAGCCACCACTGTGCAACTAGGCACTCATAAGAGATGACTCCCAAAACTACTTCAGACAGTGGCAAGAATGATGGCATTAAGTGTGTTCAAATATTATGAGGGGATAATAGAAATGTGTCTTTTTTTGTAATAGGATTTTTAAACTTACACATTAACTATGGTTTTTTTTTTTGGGGGGAAGGGTCTACAGGGTGCCCAGGGTCTCACTACTAGATCGAGCACATAGTGATTCTCCTGCTTACAGCCTCCCAAGTGCTGGGATTACAGGTGTGCCACCAGGCCCAGTCTCAATAGCGTCTCTCAGCACATCCTGGGGTTGGGGCCAGCACAGCAGGCCAGGGGATTGAACTCCTGACCCTTGTGTCTGCTTGCAGGTGCTTTATTTTTTTATTTTTATTTTATTTTATTGAGAAACAAATAGCAATGAGACAGTTTCAAAACTGATTAATAAGACAGTTTCAATAATTAATACATTGTACATTGTTATCTTTCTAGTGGTTATCCATAGTACAAGATGCAGACAGGATATCCTGTCCAAACACTATTAGTACAAAACTTTCTTTTCATTGAATTAGGCAAAAGTAGCTGTATATCTATCCTAACTATTCTGTATATACAGTCCTTCCTTTGTATCCCCTTTTTTTGTTTAGTCCTGTCAGAGATGGGTATTTCATTGGCATCTAAATACTATAGGTATGTGAATTCAGCAAGACAATTCAACACAGTCTAGCAGTCAACAATAGCAGTGGGTTATCCACAGAAATGGTTGACTTGAACCTTTCACAGCTCAGCATATTACTATGGCTTTACTTTATATACCTTGTTTTTATACTTTACTGCTGGATGGTTAAGACCAAGATAAAGGAAGATCTACATAAAAAGAAATGTAACTTTTGTATCTGATAAGGTCGGTCAGGTACCTTCAGGATTTATCCTGTAACCCTGTACCGCAGTTTGCAAATCCTATGTCAATGTCAGCCATGTGGATGAGTCAAGGCCATTGCTTGACCAATTTGCTCTCTGTGAAAGCCTGAGAGAATGTTTTCTCTTCATGTGACCCTCCTTTGGCACACTCTACGTCATCGATCACGTTGCTCTGTGGCCCCATAATCTCCTTGATCAGAAAATTTGGGACACAACCGAGTTACATGATGTTACAGTATAGGTTCTCATATGTCCTGAGTCTTCACTGACCTTGAAAGGCTAGGGTCAAAATGTTGGCTGTTCTTGCAGCCCTTCTATTTCCCTAATTTTTGGTCTTGCAGGTGCTTTAATCTACTGAGTTATTTGGCTGGCCCTTACTATGTGTTTTGATCATGCCTGGTATACCACCTTGTTTGAGCTCTACACAAACTTCTTTCCACTTGATGGATGCAGAAACTAAGCCAGAGGAGAAGATACCAGACCCCAGAGCTAGTGTCGGAATTTAAACTCAAACATGATTCCAGAGGTTCCCCCTACATCTTTGGAGTCTTGGGTGAGACTGTCCCAAGCTACCACCCTCCCCCCAGCTGTCACCACTCTAGAAACAGCCTAGGGGAACAGATGCTGGCCATCACCTCCCAGTGCCCCCTAGGCCTGTGACTCCTCACCTCATTGCTGATGGTAGAGTCCCGGTGCATCATCCGGTGCAGGTGGCTGTCCAGGCTGGCTCCGGATGAGCATTTGGCCAGAGCAGCTGCATGTGACTCCCGTTCCCTCTGGCGCACAATTGCCTCGCAGCCCAGCCACTCAGACATGGTCTGTGCATAGCAGGCATGAATCTGCTCATCTACCTGCCAGGGCAGAAGCAAGGTCATCCAAGGGGCTGGGGCTCCTGGGCAGAGCCAGTACCATCTGGAAGAGAATGGCTTTGAGCCATCCAGCACACATTTAACAAACACCTAGCAGGTATTAACTAAGCACCTACTATGCTATGCTTCAAATGGGCTAAGCTAGGAAATATCCAAAGGGCATGTTATGGTTTGTATCAAATTGTCCCCCAAAGCCTCATGCAGTCATGGGGTGGCTTCTAGAGCTTGTGATTAATTCTTGATCCAATGCTGGGATTATGGGTGTGAGTGCTACACCTGCCCTGGGGCAGATAATCTGCATTTCAACATAAGGAGGGGAGAGAAGCTTACTAGCAGCTTGCAGCCGCGGCTCTTCCCTTTGCTTTTTGCTACTTTCTGTTGCCATGAAAGGTTGCCCTCTGCCATGTGCCACTCTGCCTTGCAGTCAGCAGAGTATGGACCGAAATCTCCACTAACTGTGAGCTAAATAAACTTTCCCTTCCTTAATTTTTGGTGTCAGGTGTTTTGTCCCTGCAACAAAAGAGAAAAGTAACTGAGACAGGGCAAGATTCCTTCTCTTCCTTTATTCATTTACTCATACTTCTATTTAACTACTTGTTGAGTCCTTACTATGTGTCAATCTATCAGGTTCTGGAGGGAGCAAAATGAGAAGATACTTTCTGTTCTTTACTGACTTCCTTCTTTACATCTTTATTCATTAATTCATGCACTCATTCATCTACTCATTCCTTTACTCTGATATGTATGAATAGTATGCCCACCACCAAGTTAGGCATATGGAATATAAACTGAGCAACCTAATATCCACCCATCCATTTGTCCATCCACTCACATAATATATTTACTCAAGGCCCCTCACATGGCTACCATGGGGCTAAGGGCTAAGGGCTAAGAACAAGGATGAATCACACCAACAAGCTTTCTTTCCATGCAGCCATGGCCTGATAGAAGGGCCTCAGCTTCCAAGTTGTCTCCACATGGGTGGGATCTCAGTGGAGATGTGGGTCTTCTTATCCCTAAGCCACACAGCTGAGGTGACTAAGGACCTGAATCTGTCAGGCGTTGTCTGGGCACAAATGAGCAGGAGGCAGGGGAGGAGAGAGGGTGGAGGTCTGCGCCCACCTGCCCAACGTGGGTGATCACGGAACTCCTTGAGGCTCCTCCAAGACTTGCCCCCTGCCCTCATCCTAGGCTAGGTTCTGCCACCCCTCATCTGAATGACCCTCGTGGCCTCCTCTCAGGTCCCTGCTTGCCCTAACTTGCCCCCTTCTATTCACATACCACTCAGAAGTCTTATTTGCATCTCTTCTTTCCAGCCTCACCCCTCAGAGCTGCCCTTATTCCAGGCCCTTGTGCTCCAGTAACTCATGTCTACCACGTCTTCCTCCCCATCCCCTTGAACCACAGAGATACACAAAACACATCACACTGCCTCCCTGTCTGTGCTCTTGCTGTCCTCCTCCAATGAGGTTTCTCCTCTTCCTCTTTGCCTGGAAAGCAAATTCCTTTCCAGAATGTGGGTCTCAGCAGCTCCTTCAGGGGTCTTCCTTGGCTAGCCTTCTCTTCCTGCCTGGCTTAGGAGCCCCCCAGGTGCTCACACAGCCTTTGGTTGGTCCCCACCAAATCACCAATCCCCACCCCTCACCTGGCAAGCAGCTCACCTAGTGTACCTGGGGCCACCCAGCTCCCCATGTACTGTTCGCCCAGTACCCAGAAGACATGAATGTGGGTGGTCTTGCACAGTGCTGAGGGGACTGTAGTTTACCTGCACAGATTCTCCTATAGAACCTCTGGAAGTTCCCACCCTTAACTATCTACCAGCTCTGATTCCACTGAAGAAAAGGTCAGCCTGGTACTACTGTGTGGTCAACACCTTTTCAGCACTTGACAACCTCCCTTTTAGTCCTGGGGAATGGAGCCCAGGGATTCACATATGCTGTGCAAGTCCTGTGATATTCAGATGGTACACTGAGCTCCATGCCGGCCCTCCCTCTCAAAGGTTTAACTGGCACTGCAGTTATACGTATTGATGGGTTCAGTGTGATAAACTGACACATGTAGATGATGTATAGAAATCCAGTCAGAGTAATTTCCCTCTCCTTAAACATTTATCATTTTTTTGTGCTCGTAACCACCAAACTCCTTTCTTTTATGGCAACTACTTACAACTCATTTGTATCACTGGTGTTATTCTAACTGATGTATAGTCTCCTATTTATAGTATGTCACAGTGGTTTCCTATTTATAGCAGGGATATAAAATATCTTTTAAAACAAGTTATGAGTATTTTAAGTGGGCTTTTTTCAAAAGACAAATGTCAGATTGGTACAGATGGTACATAGTACAGAATACCACAGGTTTTGAAAACTCAGTAAAAATGGGTATGAACTATATCACTGGTGAGTCTGTTTTTTGGGGGTTGGTACTGGGAACTGAATTTAGGATCTTGTGCTTGCCAAATAGGTGCTGTGACACTGAGCTAAATCCCTGACCCTCACTGTTGATTCTTACATTGATTATATATTGAAATGATTTTATATTGGGTTTAAGAAAATACAGAGATGGATTTTGCATTGACGGAACGTTATGGATCCCCCTCCCCACACAAATATATATACCTATGTGCAAAAGCAAAAAATGATTGGGAATGGAGTAAGGCCTAGGGCTAGCTAGTTGTACTATGACAATATTATGTCTTAGTTTTCCTAATGTGCAATCATTATCTGGGACGTCAACATGAGAGAGCTGGGTGGGTAGTACACAGGATCTGTGTATTAGTGTTCCATCTCTTGTGAACTTGTAATTATTTTAAAATACGATGTTTAAAGATATTAATTCCATCTTTATTATTATTATTTTTTTTTTGTGGTGCCTGGGATTCAAATCACAGGATCTTACACATGTTAGGCAAGTGCTCTATCATTGAGCTATCCCTAACAGCCCTGTCTTTTTGTTTGAAAATGTGGCTACTAAAACATTTAATTTTGCAAGTGCCACCTTAATGCAAACAATGAGGTACGGACAGAGGTACAGACACAGAAATAAATACAACAGAATAGAGAACCCAGAAGTATGCATACACCGAACACACTGACCGATATTTTTTACAAAGATGCAAAAGCAGCTCAGCATAAGAACGCTAACTGTTTCAACACAGGGTGCTGTGTCAACAGAACACCAAAGCCTAAAAGTGCAACGCAATCTAAATGGCACACCGTCCACAAAAGTGAACCCCTGCTGGATGACAGACTTAAGGTACAATGTAACACTAGGAAAGTTTTAGGAAAAAAAAACAGGAGAAAATCTTTGGACCCAGGGCAGGCTGGAAGTTCTTAGACTTGAATCTAAAAACATGATCTATAAAAGGAAAAGGTCATAGCTGAGTGGCGGAATACTTGCCTGGCGGATATGACACCCTTGTTTAAAAAGTTTTGTTTTCCAGAAGACCAGCCTGTCACAATGGTGAAAAGAAGGGACAGACTAGGGGCAGCACTTGCACAGCTCTTACGCAACAAAGAACGACCATCTGAAGTATAAAAAAGACCCTTCAACAGTCAAAACCCAAACGATCTAACAAAAAGATGCACAGAGACATGAGCAGACAATTCACCAAAGATAAATGATGGAAATAAATTTCATCAATAAATACTTAGGAAAGTATTCAACTTCACCAGCCATTTGGGAAATGCAAATCAAAACCACAGTGAAATATCATTTATACTCCTGCCAGAGTTGCTAAAAAATAAAGAACAAAGCAAACCAACCAAACAAAAACCCCCAAGCACCGCCAAAAACAACAAAAACCCCCCAGTGGTAGCACTAAACTCCGGTGAAGATGCAGGTGTGACTCACTCATATGTGGCCGGTGGGAATGTAAAAGGCGTAACTGCTGCCAGAGTGTGGCAGTTGGGAGCTACTGTACCACCCAGCAACTGTACCACTGTGCATTTATCCAACGGACATGACAACTTATGCTTACACAGAAATCTGTATATGAATGTCCCCTGTAGCTTTATTCATAACAGTTAAACAAAACAAAACAAAACAAAACAAAAAAACTGGAAGCAACACAGCTGCCTATTCACAGGTGAATCATAAAACTGGGATACATCTTTCTATTGATTCAACAACCTGCAGGGAGCTCCAGAGATTGAGGTTGAATGAAAAAAGTTAATCTCAAAGGTTACTTGCTGCATGATTCCATTTATTTAACATGCAGGAAATGAAAATAGATTAGTGGCTGTCAGGAGGGAGGCAGAGTGGGTATAAAAGGACAAGAATATCCTTACAGCATCAGAAATATTCTGTATATTGACTGTGGTGGTGAGTGCCAATATCCGCAGTTGAGAAAAGTCAAGAGAACGAAATATACACAAAGGAGTACAAATGAAACAGAATCATATAGACCTACCATACCAAGGTCAATACCCTACGGTGTTACGGCACTATACCACAGCTTTGCTAGACGTTACTACTAAGGAAAATTGCATAAAGGATACTCAGGATTTTCATTTTTTGTTTGTTTTATTTCATAACATTTTTTTTTTTTTTTGGTAGTACTTAGAATCAAACTCAGGGTTATATCCCCAGTCCACTTTTAATGTCATTTTAAAATTTTATTATTTATTTATTGAGGCAGGATCTTTATGCAGTTCAGGCTGCCTTGAATTCACTATGAAGTCCAGGCTGGCCTTGGACTCCCAGTGATCTTCTTGCGTCAACCTCCCAAGTGCTGGGATTATAGGCGTGTGGCACTTCATCTGGCTTTTAATGTTTTATTTTGAGACGAGGTCTTAAAGTTGCCCAAAAATGAAATAATGAAATATTGATTTCATTTCAGTGACTGATTAAGAAATTACACATATGGTTTGTGTTGTTGTTCTATCGGACAGCATTATCCTTGAGATCCCAGCTCCCACATTTCTCCCCGCCCACCTTGATTCAACATAGAACCAGAGCTCCCTCACCCCCACACCATCTGGGTTCCTTTGATAGCCAAAGACCCTGCCATCCATCAAGGTTAACTGACCTCCTTCCTGTCTGTCTCTGTCATCCCGAACTGGTAATGGCCGAGGAGGAAGGGCCACACTGCCTTGCGGATCTCTGGCTGGATACCTCCATAATAGATTAGGCGCAGCAGCTCCTGCTCCTCATAACTCTGCAGTGGTAGGGGAAGCAAAGGGTTTGGTCCACAAAAAATCAGGGGATGGCCCAGAAGTTTTGCTTATCAGACTCAGTTTTACAGATCCTGGGATGAATAAACACAGTCCTATGTATCTGCATATACATTGGAATAGCATATGAAAGAATCACATGTGGGCAATTTCCCACCCCAAGTGTCCACCAATGGGGGACCTATATAAGTACCCCACAAAAGATTTAAAAAGGAATGAGGTCTATCTATAAGCAACAATATGAAGGCTGCTCAGCTTGTATTAAGTGAAAAATAACAATAAAAAAGGTACAGAACATGCCTAGAATGAGCCCTTTTTATAAAGAAAATAAAAAAGGCTAGTATGTAACAAATTAACATTTCTGCTTAAATTTCAGTCAATATTTCATATTTTCCCTATTGGGAAATACCATGTTGAAGTTACTCATCTTGACTCAGCTCTAAGAAAAGTACTCTAAAGTGAATTAACCTAAAATGAACACGTCTAGTTGCAAATTCATACACTAATAACTTTTGTGTGTACTAGCACAACATTAATAACTAAGTGCTATATTGTACGTGAAGCTTATTAAGCCTACTTAAAAAATCATTTTCAAGGGCTGGCGGTATAGCTCAGCAGACTAAGGGCTTGCTTAGCTAAGTGCAGGGGCCAGGGTTCAATCCCTGGCTCCACATGCTGCGCTGGCCCCGCCTCCAGGTGCGCTGAGCCAGCGATGGAGTCCGGGCGTGCTGGCGCAACGGCATGTGAGCTTGCCCTGTCTCCTCTCACCTCTTTACTGCACATGTCTGTTTTGTGTGATAAGCCTAGAGTTGGATGTACCAACCACAATGGAAAAACCAGCCCATTCTTTTGTCTCTTGAGAATTTTGACTTGTATAATGTACGCAGCTGTGTAAGCTGTTTGAAAATTATCTGTGGCAGTTATGAGAGAAAAGTAAGAGAAATTACTTTTCTCTGTTATGAGAGAAATTACTTTTCTCTTAGTTATGAGAGAAAAGTAATGTTACAAGAGAAAAGTAAGTTAAGGTAGTACTTTAGAGTACTTTTCTTAGAGCTGAGTCAAGAAACATCCACCCAGGACTGTTAAGTGGAAAGAAGTAAAACCCTGGGCTGGGGAGACAGTTCAGCAGTCTAAGCGTCTGCCTGACAAGCACAAGGTCCCGAGTTTGATCCCTGGTACTAAAATAAAAATAAAAATAAAAACAAAAACAGAATGGAAGAGCCCAGATGTCTGTTGTTAAGTGAAAATTTGAGTAAATTATAGCCTATTCAGATGAGGGGCAAGGTTCTAACATTCAGTGTCTCATCTAGAAATCTGGAAGATGTCTATGCATTCAGTGGACATAGAAGAAGTTGGTTACTTAAAATACAAACATGAGTACACTTAAAAATACAGGATATGGTAAGGTAGGCATAATTATTATTGAGATATAAACTTATATACCTTAAGACTTTATATAGGTTCATGTACTTACATATTCTATAAAATAGTTATTTCATAAGAGATCAAAAATGAGACATACAAATCTTTCTTTTCATTGAACTAAGAGAAAGTAGCTGTATATCTATCCTATTTTGTATATACATATATATAAATATATACATGTATATTTTATTTTCATACTTTCTTTTGAACT